CCCCTTTTCCCCCCGGGATTGATCAGCTTGGTTAGAGCCATACAGCCCATAGCGATCATCAGCATCACTGGACGGATGGAAGATAGGAACAGGCAAAGGGGGCTGAAAAAGCCAGCATAAAAAAAGGAGGAAGTTGGAAGATGAATGAGCTAAATGTGCAACATTAAAAGATATTTTTTCAAGAAATCGAATGAGCACACATCAGCAGTTGACTCAAGGTAAAGGGAATGAGGATCAGTCTGGTAAAGTTCATTAATGTCATGATGCCAACTTGTTTGTTGCATTTTGCCAACCAAAATGTAAAATGAAAAAAAAATCACACACACACACACACACACACACACACACACACACAATAAACATGATATTGGGAAGAAATTTGAAGGCATGGTTTGGGCATGCAGTAATATAACTCCTTCATGAAATGCTTTTGCAAACTCTGAGCTGCAGGGTGTGATTTGGCCATGAGGAGGCCAGAACTGTTGACAGGACAGGTAGAGAGACTACACCAGAATATAACAAAGCATGAATTACGATTGCAGTTTATTGGAAAAAAAACACACACACAGCACAGTTGATAAATGGACTTTATGATGTTTACATTGTAGATTTAAAGGAAAACTGAGGTCTATCAAGTAAACCCAGAATAAGATAATTCAATAGATGAATGAGTGAATGAATAAATATAAACAATCAATTTTATTGTTATGGCACATTTTACACACAAGTAGACTCACTGCACATTAAAATACATTACAATATAACACATAATTGCCAATCAGTCAATCAATTAATCATTAACTCAATCAATGACTCAATCTTTAGCACGTTTCATAAAGGTCAGTGTAATTCAAGGTGCTTTACAGATAAATAACAAGGCAGAATAATTCAAAGTGAGAAAAACAGTTTTCTCAGTTGCTCAGACAAACTGCTCCAGCAGTTTGGAGCATAAAAGCTAAAGTAAGAGCTTAGCTATCTCTTCACTTATTCAAGTTTCTCTGCCAGAAACAAATGTGGGCTGGTCTTGGACATGAAGCTCCCAGGGTGAAAATGGGTCCCACTCTGGCCTTGTTTGGATCTGTCTGTGCTTTTCTATGGAATTTAATTTCTACCCATTCTAAAACATGCCTTTTAGGCTGCAAGAGCCTCCATCAACCAGCAAACTTGAGAGATAATCTGTTTGCATGGATGGATATATCTAGTGTAAAAATGGAGACAGACAGAGAGGCACAGAGCATTTTAGGATAGGTAGAAACAAACGGAGACAACCGGCGTGAAGAAACAAGAAAGTGTGGATCGCTCTAACACGACTGTCAGCTTTTATTGAACCCGAGAAAGAAGAGGTGATGGTTTTGTCAAAAATTTGTTTCTCTCTGTATCAATGCTTTCTTTTAACATTTTCTGTTAAGACGCTGTCTAAAAATACACACTCAAGACACACATCAACCCTGTATTCTCCTGTCAGTCGAAACTTTCTTAGAACTTTTGGGTTAGATAGCGGTCACTGCTTGCTCGGGGAAAAACTCATCTTCTTATGTGGCAACTGGGTTCTTATCAAGCAAAACAAGGACCTCATTTAGCCTTCTACAGAGCAGAGTGGAAACAATATCACACGGGATAAGAATTTAGACACAACACTGGTAATAGGTTTATGTAGCGGGAACCAGCTTGTGTAGCAAAGCGATTAATCCTCGCACAGAGCTGATTTGTAAAGACAGCTAAAACTCAGACAAAGACAGCGCTGGTGGGAGGAGGAGAATAGACTGATGAGAAAATGTGTGTGTGCATAGGTGAGACCAGCTGGAGTATATATGTGTGTTCACAATTCTCCCTTGCAGTTCTCCTGACAAATGCTGTACAACTATTCTGAGATGAAAACATAAATACATTTTGTCTTGTTGTTATCCATTTTAAAAAGTCAGATACATCTTCTGGGATGAAAAAGAAAGCCTTTGTAGAGTCTTCAAGTGTCACGACAAGAGGGGCTAGTTAGCGAAGGATTGACATTTCTCTAATACCTAGCTGCAGGCAGAGTTTAATCAGACAAGGCTTTAGCCTTGTGTGCTATAATGAATGAAATAAAGGCAGGCTGAAAGAACTTGTTTAATTAGATGCTACTCATCATCAGAGTGGTGAAGAGATCCACTGAGGCAGGTCAGTGAAGACAATCTTTGTTGGATCTTTGGTCTCTGTCTCTTTCACTCAGTTTGTCAGTGTCATTCTCACATTCACATGCTCTCTGTCACTTTTCCTTTCTCCCTCAGATAGAGTCACAGTTACCTGCAGTAGTAGTTGGGATCAAGATAAATTCATATCAAATAGAGTATGTGATTGTTTAAGAACTGGAGTACATGTGGACTACTGATACAGGGCCAGTTAAGCATGAGTCTTTGAACCAAATTTCATCACCGTAGCTGTTCCATCTAAGGCCTTTTACACATGAACTCCAGACTATGTAAATGGAATCAGGTCCGGTTTTTACCCAGAGCTGCCCTGTCACATATGTAGCACAATTGGGGGTGGTATTTGATCGTGCCCTTAAGATGGACAAACGTGTCAACTTGGTGGTTAAGACTAGCTTTTTTTCAGCTGAGACCTTTAGCTAAAATCAAGAATTTCCTTTCTTTTAATGGCTTTGAAAAGGCGATTCATGTCTTTATCACCTTTAAGATTGACTATTGCAATACAGTGTATTTTGGGTTTTCCAGGCTTCCCTACAGTTGGTCCAGAATGCTGTTGCCCACTTGTTAACTAACCCATAGAAATGGGAACATATAACCCCATTCTTGGCCTCTCTTCATTGGCTTCCTGGTCGCTTTAGGATCATTTTAAAGAATTAGTTATTTGTTTTTAAAGCATTGCACAATTTAAAGCACTCGTAGTGGCTGCTCCACATTTGTGGAATAGCCTTCAGCTTGAGATTCACTCTGCTTCGAGCCTTTTGAAACCATATTTATTTAGGCAAACATTTATCACTGGCTCCGACTAGGACACTTGTTTGTTTGTTTACCTGTCTTATGTATTTTTGGTCAGGTTTTATTGAATCGTGTATCTGTTGTTTGAATGATGGATTATATTGATGGTGTATACTACAGTATATGTAGATTTTACTGTATTTGTTATCATGGTCTGTTATCTTGTGGTTATTTTCTTTTTTTTTTTATTGTGAAGCACCTTGTAACTCTGGTATAGAAAAGAGCTATATAAAATAATCTTTTACTTACTTACTTAATTACATGTGAACCCACACTGCCATCCACAGAGCCACTCAGGGTTCTTTTCTTGTAAGTGCTGTACCAACACACAGACAAATTAACCTTTCAGATTTTCACTAATAAATAATAAACGGATCTTACAGAAAGAGGTCTAATTCATTACTGCACCTGATAAATGATTTTCCATGTAGGAACAAAGTTTTTATAGTTAGTTTTTATATTGAATAATAGATACAAAGGTCTTAATGTAAGTACATACAGATGATACCTAAGGGATCAGTGGGATCACTGTTTTATATTTAAGTTACAAAGTATTAATTCTCCATGCAATTTATATTCAAGGATTGAAGGTGGGTATTGAAGAGGAACCTCTGTGCTCAGATCCCTGCTTTCCACCCTGCTAATGTCATGGGGGTTGAGCAGCATTCTTTGTGAGCCAGGCCTCAATGTTTTAACCAGTTAACAGAGCTGGCACTGAAAAGCAGCCTGTCGGATGCAATCAGTTCGTCAGTGCTGCTTCTTTTAAAAGACCAGCCAAACCAAATAGACAGCCCAGCTGCATGACCTGATTGGGACCTACCTCCCCTTCCCTTTCCTTTCTGAGTTCCCTCTTTCTCAGAGATTTCTCTCCTCCTCCCTCTTAACTCTGAATGTTTTCCTCTAGCTGGGGACTATTTTGGTCACAGATTTTCAGCCTAAAAATCTTTGTATTCTCCCACGTTTGGGTCTAGTATTAGCAGGTTAAAAAGAGAGGAAAATGGAAAGTCGGGCACTGTACAACTATTAATGCATAGTCTGTGTATGTATGAATTTGACCTCTCATGTTCATCAGCTGAGTGTGGGTGTGTGTGGTTGTTTGTCTCTAAGTGTCAGCCCTGTGATAGACTACCAACCTGTCCAGGGTGTACCCCACCTCTAGGGGCCCAATCCCAACTGATTGGGATTGACCCCCATTATCTAGTGATATAGATAATGGATGGATGGATGAATGCTCGCCAGCTGTGTTTAAGGACTTAAGTTGTATTCTCCAAAAAAGGCTCGCATCACCCAGAAAGCGCACCAGTAGTTTGTGGGTTAGGTTGACATAGCTATTGTGCCACTTTGGTGAATACAGGACAATTATGTTTCATTCAGGACAATGTGTTCTCTCACAGGTGAAGAGTGGCAGATTGGAAGAACATTATAATACGGTGTAGTCTGAAGTCTGAGCTAAGTTAGAGGGTATTTAGAAATTATCAGCTAACCGTTCATCCTTCCATTTTCTGCCCCTTATCTGGGTCCAGATCACAGCAGCAGCAGGCAAAGCAAAGAAGCCTGGAGATCTTTCTGCACAGCCACATTCTGCTGCATATCCTGGAAGATCCCTAGGTGGTTACAGGCCAGATGGGACATGTAAACCCTCCAACATCTTCTGGGTCTGCTTCCCCAGTTGGGAGAGGACATAGCTATAAAGCCTTCAGGCTATTTTCCATGGCCACTTCAAATTCAGCTTATTGTTGATTCAGAGGGCCGGAAAAACAAGTCGCTTCTGCTGACTGGTTGATTAAGATCATTCTTTTTTATATACAGTATATGAGGTCACAAAATCCACTGCTAAAACACACTGTGCCCTTTGCTCCACACTTTAAGGTGATGCCATAGCCCAGCTGACAGATGTGGGATCAGCCTTGCCGTCTCAGTTGGATGGACGTGTTACAGTGTTCAGTGACAGGACGGCGATGGTGAAAGCTGCACGCTTGCTCCTCTCTTCAGTCACTAAAGTTCTGGTCTTAGCCGACCGCATTGTCATCAAACAGATAATCACATCACGCAACAAGGTAAGACACACTGATGTGAGATGGCGCAACCTTGAACCGTTTGCTTAAACTTTCTTTCTTAGTTGTGTTGTACACACACTGGTCTACACATTAATACACACACACACACACTTTAGCAGACTCCATCCTGAGTCCTTTATTTTCTAATGGATAAGCACTGGCTATCTACAAAGAGTACTCTAGAGGTAATTGAAGGTAAGCAGCACATTTAGAGGCCACATAAAAACGCAGAGCCTGAGGCTGTCACTCTCCATCGTACCTGGCTATGCTCTTAGACAGACAGTGTGATATGGATGTAGTGGTAGACTGAGCCAAGAATGGAAACAGGGCGCCTAATCATGACTGGTTAGCCAGACAGTCGACAGCCCCCGTTCTCCATTACTGGCAAACACAATTAGATCTTTCCCTCCTCTCTTTGTCTGGTGTGGATAAAAGCTGCAGCGTTAGCACTGCCAGCTAGCCTAATCTCAGCAGATAAATGAACAACTATATGGACTACTATTAACTAAAATGGAGGTCTGGAGCTACTTAATCTGCTAGTTTTGCTGGTTTCAGTGATTAATTAGATTGAGCCATTAATAACACAAAAGGGAAATAACACAGCAATAGAAAGTAAAACAACTAATATAAAATAGATATCACTAGTCAAGAATGATATATAATATTCTTGGCTGCTTTTACACTTCCTGCTGGTACCATACAACATCAGAAATCGGTTGTTACAGTGTCGATGGACTAATAGAGCACAAACCATATGTTGCTATTCAACACACTATTTTGATCTCACTCCTCTCAGGTTCTGGTAACCCTAGACCATCTGGAAAGAGTCAGCACCTTCCAGGAATTTGTACAGATTTTCAGCCAGTTTGGAAATGAGATGGTCGAGTTTGCCCACCTCACAGGAGACAGACAGAATGTGAGTAGCATGTGAAAAAACCAGCTATCTGCTTCTCTTTTCTGAGTGTCAGAATCATCTCACTTTAAATATGCCACAGCAAGTGAAAGGTATATATTTGAAAAATACCACAAGTTGCATATTGCGTATGTAGTGTGGTTTATGAACATGCAGTAATTTGTCTCTTTGTTTGTGCAACACTGAACAGATTTCTGTTTATTTATGTGGGTGTAATCTTCAAACAAAGTGATTTTATAAATATGGAGGAATTAGACTATAAAACCTGTAGTACTTAAACTTTTAATGTCCAGGCAAACTTGGAACAAATCAATAATTCAAATATCTACATTTCCCTAAAAAATTCAGCGAAGTAACAAGGCTTCTTCAAGCGTCTTTGGTTTGTGCAGTTTCCTTATTTCTGTGTCTGTCCATTGTTCCAATCCATGTCTTGATCCATAAAACAAATGTATAGGTCAGTTATGACTCATGCTTCTCAAAGACTGTTTATATCACGATTCAGTGTTGATGTGAACTGACCTATGCTTTCAGCGAGCTGTTCTTTTTTTGTAGCAGATTTGCAAAAAAAAAAAAAAAACATTTGCTCGAAGCTTTAGAAAAACAGTCCAACTTAGGGGTTCTAACCTTGCACAGTCAAAGTCCACTAATCCTTTAGTGCATATTTTCAGCTTCTGCAGCTAAAGCGCTTTGCCTCCAGAAGCTGATGTAAAGTGCAACGCCTGCTATAGCTAGACAGGGAGGGCGGATCGACCATCCCTCTTTCTGAACTTCATCAGGGGCTCGTGTTTTGACACACACATCACGTCTCCCTCCGAAGCTCCTCATTGCAGCTATCGCTCTCCCTCCTCATTTGCCACCCTGTTTTCTTTATCTTTTTTCACTCCCACTAATATGCTCTCATGCACACACATGCAGCAGCGCACAGCCTTTTAGAAAATCTACCATCTTCATCTATTGAAGCCGGGTGAGCACAGAAGCAAAAATAATGGCAGATAATCACATCATCTTTGTAATATGTGGCAAAGTGCCTGGAGAGGAGTTGATTCAGCTGCCTTTTCCAAATTCTGTATCTACCTAATTTGAGCTATTTCACTTTGGAATCAATGGAAAGGGATACAGCATGTCATACACGCTGTATCATCTTTCTTATTCTGGTAGTATCTTTTTTATTAGATGACAGTTAACCTAAAGATGTTTTGAGTGTGTGTGCATGTGTACGTGTATACTTGGAGAGGAATCTGTGCCACATTTGTGCATCCATTCATACCAGCATTTTGCTGATTACGTCTGATACTTCTGACACTCCAAGAATTCTAAGTTGTAACTCGAGTAAAGTCACCCATTACCATCTGCTGTGTATGTGTATGTGCATGTGTTTGTGCTGCAGGACTTGAAGGACGAGAAGAAGAAAGCACGAATGGCAGCAGCCAGAGCAGTGCTGGAGAAATGTACCATGATGCTCCTCACAGCTTCTAAGGTAAACCTCTGGGCAAGGTTTGTGGATTATGTCCAGGTTAAAAATTTAAAGCCTCTCAAGTTTATTTAATATCAAGGTTTCTCAGATGCTGTGATCAATGTTAATACCAGGCTTCAAGTCATATAATCAAAACAAACAAACAGAGTGAATCATCATGGTTGAAAGACATGAAAAATGATATCGAAAGGAGCAGAGCAGGGCACGAGCTTTGACATTTCAAATCCAATTCCTTCCAAAGACTTGCCTGAGGCACCCGGATTGCGAGTCGGCACGGATCAACAAAGACGCTGTATTCCACCGGATGCGATGTGCCCTGGAGCAGGTCATCGAAATAGTCACGGAGGCGCGGAGCTGTGGGGAGAACAAGATCCTTCCTGCAAGCATCTACAACTGCATCAAGGACTTCAAGGTAGGATCAGAAATTAGACTTGGTGAAGGAGTCAACATACTATAAATCATGCTCAAGGTTTAAGGTTAGTGATGCTCCTGTGATGCCTGGTGGCCTGTGAATTGATAATGGTGCTTTTGTGGGCAAAACGTCATACAACCATAAACCATATCTTTTCAGAAAATAAAACAATACAATCTCTTCATATTGAGACAGACTCCAGCTCCAGTTTGTATGTGATGATTCTTTAACAGCATTAACATTTTTACAGTCATTGTGTTGCTTCAAATATGACTCAGGCATAAATGTGGAGGATCAGACCTATCTAGTTTTTAATTTGGTTAATACGGTTACGTGAATCCCCGTCAAACCTACATCATTCGGACTAATCTTCTTTCTCTCTTCCATGTACACTGTCAAATAAAAGAAATGAAAATTTGTTATTTTCCCTTCAGCCATTAGTTTGTAAAGCTTTTGTGTGTATTGCTGCCTCAATCTTTTCAATTCTCCATCTCCCATCCTTCAAATGTTCCTTCACTCCACCCTCATTGCCCCTCAGTCCAGCGTGGAGTGCCTTCGGGAGAACCTGTACTCCTTGTCACCCCAGAGCATGGGCAGTCAGCTGGAGGCGCTGGTGGAGCGAACAGAGGACTTCACTGATTCAGCCTACACCAGCCACGAGCAGCGGCAGGCCATCTTAGGTCTGTGCCAGCTGGCATGCCAGGACACTAACCAGCTGGTGCACGTCTGGGTTGAAGCGGTACGGTGGCACAAGGACGCATGCGTACACAGATGCACACACAAGGAATATCCATGAAAGCATATGCTACCATATGAAGAATAATTATGAGCACCTCATCTATAAGGCATTTGTTAAAGACAAAGATTTATCCAAGCAAAGAAGATGTGGTTGGGTTGTTCAACACAGAAACTCATACAGACAGACACACACACATTAAGGCTCCTTCCTCAACTCACTCAGTCATTCACTTTGCCTACTTGCTTTCTTTTTACACATCTCCCTCCTGGAACAACAGAGCATAATAAACCACCTGAATAATCATTTTTACTAAGGCTCATTCAGCTGAGAGAGAAACATCACGTGGCGTTCTTTGTCTTCTTGCCATTCAGCAGTCGTCTTGGCCTTCACAAGTGATGGACTTACGAAACAAGTCATTATGTTGTAAATTTTATTTCAGCGTGTTCAGAGTACACAGAAAGACTGCAGGCAGGTAATTGTACAGTAGTGCTTCATCTAGCCTTTGCAATTGAAGGTCATTGGGAAAATTGAAAAGACCAGAGTACTTCAGCATTTTGAAATTGCAGAGAAAGCTTCTGTATCTGCAAATAATCTTGGGTGTTCTGCCCAGTTCAATTTGTGTTCTTGATTCTTATCTTGGCAAGTTTAGTAGATCATAATATATCACAGTGTAGTTGTCAGTGAGAGGGTTAATTTTCCAGTCCAGTCTTTTTTCTGATATGTTGTGTTTCAGATAACAAGGCCAGTTTGTGAGTAAACCATGTCATGTTTTACTCATTCCCGCCTCTGTCTGTCTCACAAAAGCAGCAGTCTGCTCATGCCAAAGAGGCCACAGAGGACATGGAGGTGGCCATCCTGAAGACATGCCAGAGCATCACTGACCTCAAACGTGAGGTGAGCGGCTGTCTGTCTGTCCTTTGAGTCAGGATAAATGTACTCAGAAACATGACTTGGATGGCTCTCACATGCTGTTCTGCCTCTGCAGCTGGTTTACCACTTTTTCTTTTTCACATCACTCTTCAGCTCACCTGCTGCTGCTGCTTCTCTGTCAGCTCAGCTGTGTCAGTGACACCTCTGTTCCTGTTCTTTTTCTTGCTCAAAAGCAATCTTCATGCCTCTCACTCATCTTTCTTTCTGTTATACTTTCTCTATCTTCTACAGCTGCCTCCTTCACATTCACATTCTTTAGTTTAATCTTTGAGTTTAATCTTCCTCCTCCTCCTCCAGCTCCATAAGGTAGCAGTCGGTCGTGCCTCAGACTTGCTCAAAGTTCACGGGGAGCAGTTGCCTTTGCGGGCTCTCAAGGCCGCAGGCGCTGAGGGAAACCTGGAGGTGGTGGCAGAGTATTCACGCACACTCACCGAGCAAAAAGATCAGCTGGTGGAGGTAAGCGGGGCCAGGGGCAAAGGGAGCAGGAAGGCTGAAAGATGTTTGGTGGCACTGCCAACCAGTATAGGTAAAAAAAAAATTACATGGCAGAAGTATGTGATGAAGGTTTGATTTTTCAACATATTTGTAAATACTTATCAATCATCCTTCTTCTTAGGCAAAATAGCTGGCTTTAGGTGTGGATTTGGCTTGTAAATACTCAGCAGCAGCAGCAGCAGCAGCATACTAGTGGCCCTAACAAACAAAATGTACAGTATTGTTGAAAAGCATTGGCACTGTGAGGATAAAGCTACTCTGATGATTTTTTGTACAGATTTAGTTTTATAAAAAGCCTTTCAGTGTGAACCCTTTTCTTATAGATGGAGGTTAAACATTCATGAATTTGTGAGTCATCCTTCTGCAGGGCCAAGCTAATCTTCTCTGTATTGATTCCAGTTTATCATATGTGCTGAACAAGCACTAAACATTCACTAATCCATGTTAATAACATTTCCTTAAACAAAATGTCAATAGCACCTGTGCTGCTAAAACCACATTTACAGACATTTCTGCTTATCAAGAGATTAACTGAACTGTGACTATGCAGTGGTAAAAGTACTTTTTCAACTTCTAAAATGATAAAATTCCTGTGATTGTGTTTTTTGACACTGAGTTTCCAGTCAATGTCAAACTGGTTTATACTGTGATTTTTTTAGATTTTGTAATTTTCTGAACTATAGTTTATTCATCTGAGAAGCACCTCCAGTTAACCCATTTTCCCCGTTTCAATCCAGACCTGTCGACTGTTGTGCCATGTGTGTGGGACAGAGCCCCTAGAAATTACCTGTATACATGCTGAAGAGACCTTCCGTGTCATTGGGCCACAGGTAACATTAATATTTTTTGTATTGATTGTTGTTTTTAGGTAACTCTTAATATTATGCCACATTGTGTTGATGTGTACAGTAAATGGGCAGCAAACAGGCAAAAGAGGAGCAATCTAGTAAGACATACATGGTAACTTGAATCAAACCCAAGACCAATTTTGTTCAATTCAACCCTTTTATTGTCTGTCAGTAAAGCCAAACTGGTCTCACAGTGGTAAGGGAGTGAAGTCTAACCTGAGAAATATTCTGCTTGGATGCAGTGGGAAGGAAAAATAGACAAATTACCTCATGTCTCATTTCTCTACCTCCTACACCTGCCACCCATTCAAGAAGGCTGAGAACATGTTGTCTGTCTAGCCCCTCTATCCCAGATCTAATTATGTTTGCTCTTAGAAACCATCCATGCCACTAATTATCCAGCAATGTAGAATGTTCCCATCCTGTGGCGTTTATGTCAGGCCCTGCATGACTCTGCAATAATGACTCCGCTCCTAAGGTCAAAGGTCAACCAATCAATAACGCTGCAGTACTGGGTGCCAGTGTTGATATCTAGGTGTCTGTACATAGTAATAGAGGGGTGGCCCAGAGGTTAATTGGCTATTAAATACTACACTGTAGGGGATAGGCATGGGGTGCATGTGTGCGTGTGCGTGTGTGCGTGCGTGAGTGTGTGTGTGCTTGCACGCGTTTTGTTTGTTTTTAATTTATTTTTTGTCAAATTCAGCTGTTTAAAATCCCATTTCCACTGAGTCTAGAGACATGATTGCACACATATAAGTTATGTAGTGACTTACAGTATCTGCAGTCTGCTCTGGTTTCAAACATATTGCAAGGTTGAGCTCAGTAGCACATACAGTGGGTCATTTATGGGGGGTCCCTTTATTTTTAAAAACCAAAACTGATGATACAGCCTTAAAGGCCCAATGGTAATTTTTTTCAGCCATATCATTTCACAGTCACGAGTTAATGTAATTGAAATAGACTCCTATTTTATTGTTTACAAACTTTAATGACACAAACAAGCCTTAACATTAACTACACACTATGGGGAATGATAACTCCACTGTCCTAATTTTGAACTCTACACCAAAAGGTAGTTCCTTTAGTATGTCGCTGCCTTTCTTTTACGGGGGACAGTTGTCAGTGTAGTTCTCCGTGTAGTGAGTATAACAGTAGAGTAGAGATGTGAGCTAAAAGAGTCTGAAGTTGGGTATTTCACTGTTGCTGGTATTGATTAAAGAAGATTATTCTAATAGAACCAAAGCTCATTTATTACCCTCAACCCAGAGAAGCAAGAGAAAAGTTGTTAAAACACTAATAATAGTCATGTTAATGACTTTAGCTATTAGTTATTGCCTAGTGTTAGTTACTGGAAGCTTCCAGCCTTCCAGGCTTATTTAGAAGGTTTAGATCACTGCAACGGATTGAACTGAAAATCACCACAGTCCTGGTTTTTCAGATCTTTGCAAGAATTATACCAAATTATGCTTCTCTGTCATTTGCCCGCATATATTTTTTTGTTTCTGGAA